ATCTTATTCCATAAGCTGATTGTAAAGGAAGAATTAATTCGGTGTCCCCAATCATTCATGCCATCTGTGTTTCGCATTGTCCAAAGGTGCTATTTTATACCCATAATGTAACTGTTTAAGCAAAATAAAACAATAGCAATGTTATACGACATTACATATTCACTATTTGCAATCACATATCTCAGACACGAGCTCCTCGACAAAGAAGTAGTGTCGGCAGTATTCTGTGGGATACCTCTCATTTGGATTCATTACATCACCTCCAAATCCCATGTGTTTACTTTGCCAGAGCGCTCTTTCAAATGAAAGTATACGACCAAGTAAACTGAAAAATCATTTGGAAACTGTTCATAGGGATGAAAACGGAAAGTCTATGTGTTTTTTAGAAAGCTGCGTGTTAGTTTCGAAAACAGACCAGTTTAAAAAAAATGTTTTCTGACAGTTCAAAAACGGTTAGTGGACTTACTGCGTCTTATACAAACGGTAAGTTGGTTGCTCGAAATTGTAGTCCACATAATATTGGAGAAAATCCTATTTTGCCTTCAGTATAAATAATAATGTTGGACATGATGAACATGAACCCTCTAGAAGCGGTCCAAGCCATTCCTCTCAGCAACTTCACTGTGTGCAAACGAATAGATGAGATGGCTCTGGACATAACGTACTTTGGTTAGTTTACTACAGTGCAGAAAATTTTCGTTACAAGTAGATGAATCTACTTTACCTGATAATGACGCTTTTCTCCTGGCATATGTCCTACTCTTCAATGATGGTAAATTCATGGAAGAGATGCCGTTTGCCATGAGAATGAAAACTAACACGAGGGGCCAGTCTATATTCGAGGTGGTCAATAGTTATCGGACTGAAAACTCCATCCCAATTCAGAACGTAGTTGCATGTGCACCAGATGGTGCTGCTGCAATGGCCGGAAGATGTAACCAATTTATTGCCCATCTAAAAATGTTCTCCCTTGTGTTCATACAGTTCACTATGTGATTCATCGAGTGCACCTAGTGGCTAAGAAATTAGGAGGGCGGTTAAACGCTTCACTGTCTACTGTTATAATGGTAGTCAACAATATCAAGTTGTGTGAGGAGAACAGTGAAGATTTCCAGGTGCTACTGTTGCATACAGAAGTTAGATGGCTCTCCAAAGGCAACTGTCTTCGCTGCTTCCTTGCACTATGGGACATTGTCGTCACTTTCCACTCTGGAACTGATTATGAGAGAAAGTTATTAACAGCCAAATCTGGCTGTTCTTTTTGAAAAACCCAACGTACTGAATAAAACCCTTCAAGACAAGTTGAGTAACATCTCAAGTAAAGAAGCCATTATCGATTTTATTAACAAACTGGAAGTTTATTCTCAAAATATCGGACTTCGGAAATTTGCACAGTTCCCAATTCTCGCTACAGTTACGGAGGAGCTGAAACATTAAGACCTGGTTGTTTAAGCAAGTCATTTACAACAAACCTGAAACGAAATGTAAGATAGGTTTCAGGATCTGATTGCCATAGAAATCCTGATTTGGGTTTTTGATCCATTCGATGTACATCCCTGCAATGTTGGAGCTAACATCCAGGAAAGCCTCACTGAGCTTCAAAGTGACACTTGTAAAGTCCTAATTCACTCAGTATAAAGGGATTTTTGGGTAAAGACCGATGCAGCTAACAAATATCCCAAACTGTGCGAAATGGCTGAAATATATTTCTTTGCGTTTCCCTCCACATATGTTGGCTGAGTGTGGATTCATCAGAATGGTTTCTCTCACAAAAGTAGAAACAAACTGGACATCACAACAATAGGAGATCTTCGACTCTCATTGTCAAGTCTGGATCCGGACATAGGCATGCTTGCTGAAGGACATCAGGCTCAAGGTTCACACTAAAATTTCATCAAAAATATTGTTGGGAAGTTACTGTACTTCTTTATTCATCACATGATTTCTATTTAAAAGCTAGCAATAATGGAAAGCAATTTTAATTAACTGCGATAGCTTTTGTGTAATGACGATTAAGTAGTTCGAGGTAGTTCCACAATGAATGTAATTTTCAGGATGTGAAAGACCAAGCGTGAGGTGCATGAGGGATACAGCAGTGATACCGACATTAGCAATTTAGCAATGATAACAAAAGATAGTAACATGATAACTGCAGATCAAAGATTTACGTCTTTTAGATGTTGCGGGCCGCAGAAAATATGTTGATAAAGAATGGGGGACCCTGAGAATTGGAAGGATTCAAAAGGGGGCCACAGGTGAATAAGGGTTGAAAATGCTTGTCCTAATTCATTAGCTGGACTGCGGAATTTGGTGAATTCACATAACCACTTGATCCACTGTGTGCCTTTGTTCGATTTTCCTTTTTCAGTACTATTGTTCTATTCGGTTTTATCTGACAATATTCTGTGTAATAATGTGAGAGCTGTGCTCCGCTCCCACCTGAATATTCACCTAAGACAGTTTGTGTCGCCGGGCGTCACTAAGATTTCGCTCTGTTAGCGTGCATTGTATGCTTCTCATTGATTGTCATGTTTGTTTCATGCATGTGTGTCCTTTGCTAGACTATTAGAGCCGCACCTAACACCTTAGTTGGGATGGTGCTCTTTCGGTTCGCGCCCAAGTATATGGAACAAAGTGGCTTAGTGATCATAGCGATAGCCGTTAAGTAATATGCGCCGAATTCCACTCCCAACTCGGCTTTCTCTACCTAATGAGTTCAAACATGGACGAAACCGTCGGTCGTGGAATGCAGGGATGGAAGATCCACACCGAAACCCGCCACTTCGGTGACGATCCCAGTGATCGTATTGGCAGAGGTTGAATTCCAAATCAACCGAGACCGCAATTGAGATTGCGTGTCGCAATCCAAAACCCGAAAATCTAAGTGGTGCCTTCCGAGCATCTTATCACATCTGGTGTTCAGAAAGCAGGTGCTCGATCCCCTCCTATTATCTGGTTCTGTAGCCCCAATCTAAGGCTAGGCTGTTGACTCCTTGGTTTCACGGTGCTGGCTTTCAACCGTTTGTTGCCCAGAAATTAACGTTTACAACCGATATCTCTGTGCACTCCTTTGCGTTAATTTCGCATCATAAACAGTTCTTTTGTCAATGTTCTCACTTCGAATTCCATCCTGTGTCCTATGCAAACAACCTGGGAACTTTTTGCTATCTTCCTCGTTATTAACTCCATGCCACATCACCGCATAAAGTACATGTGCGCTTTCTTTATAAATGCTCGTCTCTACGTGAGCCGACTAATAGTAGACAGCCGCCATCTTCTGTTGCAAAGACGTACTTATTCTAATGTCCCAACACCACTCTACTTAGCGCAGAGTCCTCGGCTCATCATCATCACCAATACACGTTAGCTGAGGGTGAGAAACACACCTAATCTAGTGTGACGCTACACAAATAGATATTAAACTTTAAAGACTATAAACATGTTCAAAAAAACAAGTAATATAATGTTAAGTATCATAGTTGTATTTGTTAAGACTTCGTAATTGGAGGGGAAATCGAGAGGGTAGGGTGATGGGCAAAACAAAAAGGGCATTACCGACTCTTCGCTGTCGCGCAACCACCACCTGCCGCACGCAGGCTAAGGATACTGGGAGAGTCGCCCTGCCCCTACGCAAGCTCGAACCCGCGCCGTCAGATTACAAGACAAGCTTGTTGCCTTTGCCTACGGGCCGGCATTGGGCAAATAAACACAACACAAACGCCATTGGAGCCGGCTCTTCGCTGTATCAGCAAGTGTATGTAAGCAAACGTGTTCATCGTCCTTGAGATCGAGGTGGAACACCTACTTATAAACTCGTTACCTCTTTCCAACTGAACTTGACTGTTAGCCTACATTTCCAGTTCATCTTAAGAGAACCGTCATGAACTGTTTCGTGCTTCTTTATACTTCCGTCGCATGACTTCAGCTAAGATGTGCCATGCTCCTAGAATCAGTGTTACTTATATGAACATCGCTGGAAAACTCACGTTCCAACATGATCGTTTGACATCACATCGTGATGCGGCGTCCGACTTCAGATGGTCCTCACTGACGGTATTTGATTGCACGTTAATTTCCAACGGTTGCTGGAACCGGCGAAGCTACGAAGCCTAGTTTATATACATGATGAGGCCACATCTGGTTCGGTTCATTCGCCCAACTTCACATTACTCCTGTGGTCTTGTCTCATCCTCGCTTATACGTACTATGATAATACATACCACCTTGGGAACTGTTCGTCCCCATCCGCCTGCTTTTTAGGCTAACTTCGGAAGCCCCTGCTTCTCCCTAGGTCTCTCCCACATCATCGGCTAAATTACATAAAACAGCCTATTTAGTGCGTTTTCCATCATACCAGCTTTTGTCAACCTCAGGAGGAAAGTGCTCGGCATGACAAAAATTATTTGTGTTTATTTCTCCTCCTATGCTTCGTAGGCTACTGCATGTGGTATAGCATTTGGTTTACGTCGAATGCTACTCACTATCATTAGTCCGCATTATGTTATTTATTTAAACATTCGACTTGTGGCCGCACCCTTTGAATCAGTAATCCATTTGTTTTCTACAGATTTGCAACTCGATTCACCGATTCCCCAAGTATAATCACGTGTTAAATTTGATGAAGCATCGATTTTTTCGTAGCCTACCATTTCCCTGTTCACTAAGCTCACGTGACCATTGCAGTGTCTTCTGTTTCATTTTCCCATCATCTTTGACTGTCTGTGATATGTTGGAAACTTTTCACGACGCTTTATGGGCATGCAGCCTAGTAACGTTGATCATCTGCTAAACAAGGCAGGTTTCAAAGAATTAGATTTGTGAGCGGTTTTATTGCCGAAGATCCCCCGATTTGCTCAGGTACACACTGTTATCGCAGGTTGTTACTTCAATATTCCCTTAGGACAGTGAACAAATTTTGAGTCTGAGCTTTCTGGGACCTGATGCAACGATGGCCTTGTTGGAGTTGCGCAGTTATGGTCTTGTTTGTTCTTACATTTCAGAGTCTCGCAAGAAACGGAGGCCGCTAAGCAAGAGGCGGAAACGAATGCGGCTCGTTTACAGGCCTCTCTGCGAATGCTTGAACTTCAGAACAGAAGTTTAGAAGCTCAGTTAGAACAGAAGGTACTGGAGTACTTTCCCTACTTTCTATCCGCTTGCTTACGCCTTTTTTGTCCGCCTGTTCTCCGCATAACTGTGAGATACATACTATGACACAAGCCGACATGCGTAGTCCTGTTACTGATTGACCCATACTTCATCTCTGACGTTTTCGTGAACTGTCTCTTATCATCCTCTAAACTTTCATTATCGTGATATACTCACGTCCCTCGTCTTTGTTCATATTCGGGTCTGCGAGCGTCCCTTGTCTCTATAGCACAACTTAGCCCAGTTCGAATTTGATACGTCCTGAGACCCGCGCTATGCTAGCCTAACTTTATTCTTTCCGACAAACCAGCTCTACTTCTTTCACTTTTATGCTTTGGAATTCCCATTGTGTCGTTAGACTGCATTGCGTTCCCTTAATCTAAAATGCAGTATACTCTGAAACAGACCTCGAACATACCTAATGTCACTTTTATGTCACAATCCAGATGCACAGTGATTACCACTAAATCCAAAAATGAATTACTTTTCGCAGTGGTAATGTCTTGATTCCATTTTCTCTGTATTCCAATTGCATTTGACCACATTTTCCTACCGTTATTGTTATTCTGGCGGCGTGAGTTGTGGCAACTGGATCCACCGCACTTCGGTGCCCAAATCATAGTTGTTCAACTGAACTGAATGTCAAACGTTCCTTGTAGAGTTTGGCATTCTTATGATAAAAGTATAACCGGACAGTCATCTGTTCCCTGGGTCGGATTCCATGGTCTGGTCAACTATCTTTACACGAGTACGAAGTCGATTTTAGACTGCAATACTGTGAGCTAGCAACAATTGCGGTATCTCCACATCCCTACCTTCCGTTCACGGATTACTACCACTTGTTATACCCATCCACACTCTTGTTATCTTTCTCTTCTACAGAAACGCGAAAATGCAGAATTAACCAAAATTTGTGAAGAACTGCTGAGCAAATACAGTGGAACCGGGTGACGTCCTGCTCGAGCAGTGCGACATTTTTAGCACACACACTGGCTGTTTTCTTTCAGATTCATCGAATTTGCATCCTTTTTGCATATCTTCACAACCTCTTTGATGTTCAGTCTCATTCTCTTTGGTGAATCGCGAACTCTTCGAAAATGAACGCCGTTCTACCGACCCTGAGACCAACCGGAATATTCAGCATGTTAAAAAACTCTCAGCATGTTTAGTTTTCCACTTTTTTTGCTTATGACAGATTGTATGTAACTGTTATATTTTCTTCTTTCAGTTGGTTTTCTCATCACATCATTCTTCTGCTCTCCGGTTCCTATCCCATCCCAGCGTATCCCTGTGCTCCCATCCCCACTGTAAATATAAAGATTTTACCGAACCATGTGGATATATCGGTTTCTTTAGAGAATGTCGGCCAAAAGGACTACGCGCCTACGTTGTAGTCCTGAGGTCACCGGTGCGAATCCGCGTAGGTGCAGGCGACGTCGCGTTATATCCAGCACAGGCGCGATTGTTGGTGGTCGTGTGGCAGCGAAGCGTCGGGGTGATGTGCCGATGTACTGCTGATATCTTCTCTTTGTTGCTATAATTCGTTTTTCTAGCCTCGGGCATTTCCGGACTTAGAAACGGTTGCGATTTTCCCCAATATCGATCGGTCAGCGGCGCTGCGTCGACATAGTTCTAGTTAGACCGGGTGCGGTTCAACATTCATTTGGTCGCTGTGCGTTTTTTCAGCCAGATCACAGATATGTATCGTCAATCTTAGGGGATAGTTGCGCAGCTGTTGTTGCACCCATGCGTCAGTTCCGAACCAGCGAGCTTGCATTCTTGCCAACTGTGATTACATGTCTCTGGGCCAGTATCCACAAGCCTTTACTCTACTACTGTTGTTAGGTCTACAGTACCTTAATGACCCATGCGGACACGATGCCACATGTGGAACTCTTGATAGTGCCTCGGCTTAATCAAGTCGCCTATTGGTTACACAATTACGGGCACAATTTCCATATGGTCATGTGAACGTTGCATGTGTTCATTCCTATTCGCTTTTTCCGTTCATTGCTAGCTTCTTTAACTTTTTAAATCTCCACTGATCTTTCTATCCACTGTCTTTAAAGACCAATATCCGCAGTCGCGTCCTGGCCACGATGTTTGAATTGCTTTCTCTGTCGCCCCCAGGGAAAATATTACAGCTGATCGGGACTCCCTATAGCCTTCAGTCACACATTGTGTACAACATCCCAGGATTGTGCACTTCTCCACATCACCTACCATAACTCCTGCCGAAATGCAGTGCTCATTGTCCCAGCTGAAACGAAGTCGCTGGCTTCTAATGTGATACGATATCCAGCCGGAAGTCCCCAAATTCGTCACCGATAATCCTGATGTATGGATCGAGCGGTGGTCGGAACTCCCTGCATATTTTGGTATGGGCAGTGGGTAAAGTTCTGTGGGATCAATTACGTGGGTTAAGTCGATGCGATGACTTCATTCAGTGATCGATTTTACATCAGTCGCATCCTCTTTAGATCGTAACGGACCAAGAGCCTGAGTATGATGGTAGCTGGCGAATAAGCAGCGATCACTCTAGGCCGATCTCTCGCTTGCTCGCGTCGATAGGTCTAAATCGATGACAACGCGTAGATACTTGATCTGAAATGATGAGAACAGAGCTCAAATGGATGTAACTAAAGGAACAATTAGATGGAATTTTTTGATTTGTGATTGGCTCTAGTTGATGTGACGTATAAAATGAGTGTATTCCTTTAGACAATAGATCGCTCTTCTCGGAAAGAGAACCGATGTCAAAAGTCAACATATGAGGGGGACTTTTGTTTGGTAGGCATGTCCTAAGTTAATATTGTCCCGCCTTAATAGGCTGAAAGGTCTAAAGATCCACGTGCGCGCTTACTTACATCTAGAAGACAGAGAGAAACTCAAGTCTGCGATGATTGAACTAAAGCAACGCACGGACGATAGGGAAACAAATCTCCATGTTGTAAATCTTCGGGTAGTCACCCGGATTCTTCCACGAATCCGGATCAGCAGGTTTCTGAAGCTTCAGGCGCGCCCAGCAGTTTCTACGGTGACTTGCACGTTGCGTTTACGAACGTTGGCAATCTAATGAAAAAACGCGATGACCGGTGCTACTTTGTAATCTCTCAGCGGCCAGACGTATTAGGTCTTGCTGAGACATGGTTAAACTCCGACGTAACCGCCCAAGAAGTGGAAATCAGCGGCTGCTCGTGCTTCCGCTGTGATAAACTATCAAATGATCGCGGTGGCGTTCTGCTTTACATAAGGTCTAAGGAGACTAATGAACACCTACCTAAGCGCTGATGGTCTATGTGAGCAGACGCCGGGAGATGCAGGTGGGCGTGGTATTTCGCAGTCCACTGGTTGCCGCATATCCGCAACCACATGAGTCGTCCGCTGTTCCTACTCACGGGCGATTTCAACTTACCCCAAACACAGTGACTTGAGACTGAACTTCTCCTTGCTCACTGTGAAGTCGAGAGGAAGTTTGCAGAGTTGATATTTGAAACTGGGGCCACACAACACATCAACCAGCCGACGCGTATAATCGCGCGTGCGACTCCATCTTGCTTAGACCTACTTTTGACCAGCTGTGAGCAACATGCGCATGACATTCATGTTCTGGACCGCCTGGGAGCTAGTGACCACTCGATAATCGTAGCCAGCTTGGAACTGCCGCTACTGTATTCTCCCCCGCTAGAGCCAACCTTCAGCTATTGGAAGGTGGACTTTAATGGCTTCACTCGAGCAGCGAGCCAGTTGGACTGGTCGTTGCCAGAGGATTCGTCTGTTGAAACCAGTTGGACTGTCATTAAAGACAGAGTGAAATGGTTGTGCGCCCTATTTGTACCCTTCACGTATCGGAAAGTTGGGCCAGGCAATCTACATTAGTTCGACAAAGAGTACAGCAAACTGGTCCGACGACGATACAGTCTATGGAACAAGTTCGTGGTATTTGGCTCTGACTTGGATCACGAAGCGAAAACAACAAACGCAGCAGATTCGAAGAGCAGCTTGCGGCAATCGCCACAAAAACTTCCCAAGAAGATCTTCGCCTGCGTGAAGCGGCGCCTGTGGCCTGCGGGCAAAGTGCCAATGTTGGAAGACAGACGGACACCCCCCTAAACTCGAGCACAGATCGTGCATCCCTATTGGTATTGCGCTTCACTTCCAAATTTGCAAGTGACTAGGTGTCTACGGAGTTCGACGGGTGCTGCCCCCGCTGAATTTGACAGCCTGGATTGCAGTATTGAAAATGTACGGAAGCTGCTGGCAAGTCTTGACGGGACGAAACCTACCAGGCCAGACGAAATCCACCCACTGTTCCTCAAGTCCCTGTCGGCCATCATCACGTCTTCTGTAACTGAGCTGTTCAACAGGTCACTATCCACGGGAATATTACCGTGCGACTGGAAATGCTCAGTCGTAAAGCCAATACTGAAAGATGGTAACCCAAGCAAAGTGAATAGCTACCGGCCGACCTACTTGATTGCTGTTTTGGCAAAGGGGCTTGAGAAAATCGTAAAGTAAAGTCTTCTGCAGCTTCTCGAGTCGAAAAGCCTCTTGACGCCCGCACAGCATGATTTCGTGAAGCGTCGCTCGTACATCACCAACCTATTGACGAGGTACGAATGGTTGCAAGCGCTGAACCAACGCATGTCGGTTGACGCCATTTTCATTGACTTCAGCAAAGCTTTTGACAAGGTAAATCACGCAGTGCTCCTCGACAGGCTAAGAGTGTGCGGTGCTGACGGCTCGCTGCATCGATGGATCAAGCATTTCCTTGTAGATAAAAGTGGAGGACCCAGGTGAGCAACTATTTGACCAACTGGTATCCATCGAGCAGTGGCGTGCCCCAAGGCACTGTACTGGGGTCGATTTTGTTTCTGATCCATTTCAACGATGTGTCTCAGGTACTCCGATCATCTTGTGCGCTGTTCGCAGATGACTTGAAAGTGTAGGGGGTAATCCGCACACCCAGTGACTGTGAGCTCCTTTAGCAGGACCTCGACCGCCTTCCTACGTGATCTGCAGAGCTCAAGCTTCCGATCAACCCCGTCAAGTCGCAATTCATGGGACTGGTTAAGTGTGAGCACAGTCGAACCTACACTGTGGTAGGTCAACCGTCGCATCGCCGAGGAATATGCCGTTTATTTATTTGTTTCACGCGAGACCTCGGTGTACTCTCACGATACGACCTGAAGTCCATGGACAACACAAATAGGCTTTACCAAAACAGCCTCTTCGTCTCAATAATACGACCAGTGCTAGAGTATGGTTCTCCCGCCTATTGTCCTATCACGCGGGGCGAAGTAGAAAAGATTGAGCGAGTGCAGCAAATGGCCAACAAGCTGATTCCAAATTTACGAGGTGGGCTGTACGAAGACTGGTGTAGGGAACTAGGGTTTTACACTCTAGCTTATCGTCAACTGCGGGTTGACCTCATCATGACGCACAGGATAGTCATCCTGGTGAATGCCCCATGTTGATGTTGCTGTTGTATCTGCGCACACCAAGTTACACACGGGGACACCAGTACAAGCTTGTAGTACCGGATTTGAAGCGGATCGCTCACCAACTCTGTTTCGAACGGAGAGTGGTGAATGTATGGAACAAGCACGTAGTTGAGGTAAAGTCGGTGTCGAAATTTAAGGAATTCCTGGACAAACACTTTCCGATATAAAATCTATCGAGCGCACTCCAACCTAACGGGTCTTTGTACTGAGTGACATTAGATGCATCTACACAGAGATCTCTTCTTGCTGCTTCCAGCCAGTAATCAATAGGTTGTTTGAGGCCCAGACTTTATTTTTGATTCACTGAGAACTCGCCCTGGACGCTTGACAATGGCTAGTGTTCATTATATTGGTATATCCAGAGTTAAGCCGACAGCTTTCATCCGTTGTCAGTATGATGAAGAGTACTAATTTCGCGATTATTGCTTGTGACTTGAATGTCCAGGGGGTCACTTTCAGGCTCTGAACAGCACCTACGAACCCGCTTTGGGGTGGATGCACGCCGAACAGATAATGGTGATCGATTCTTGAAACTATGCTCCAAGCACAATCATTATACGTATGTTGAATAAAAAGTTTTGGGCACAGAAATCAGATAGCCAGGTAAACCAAATAACACCTTCCCTTATTCATATTATACAAATTCAATATCCCTGCCTCTTTTGTTTCCATTTCAGTAGATTCTTGAAGTGAACAGAGTCTGTAATATGGTGCAAATGGAGCAATTGGAGCATCGTGCAGTGATCAAATATTTCTATCTCAAGAGAATGACCATCTGAAATCCACCAAGATATGCTCAATACCTTGCATGACAATGCCCCTTCATATGCCCCA